CTATGTTTTCAACCTGCATTTGTAGTTATTTATTGTAGGCGAGTTTTATATATTTATTGTATTTATGACATTTTATATTCTAATTTCTTCAGGAATACCAATTTAACTTACATAAATCTCTTTTATCTGTACTCTGTTCAGCTATATAATTGTTTATCTTTTCATTTAAGGTATGATTTCCTAAAGTTATGACCATGATTTTGTGTGTGTGTGTGGTAATCTCTGTTTGTTTTTTATTTAAAGTTACGACCATGATTTGTTTTTAGGTTTTTTTTTTTTTTCAAAAAATTTTCTTCATTTCTAATATGATGGTAATCTCTGTTTTTTATTTCTATTTCTTTTCTAAGCTCTTCTAGCTTGTCTTTAAGGTCTCTCTTGCTTTATAATGTCTTCTTTAAAAAAGAGATATTTCTGTAATTTCTTTGAGACTATTTTTCTGAAGGCTTCCTGGGTTTTTATATGTATTATTAGGTGGTTGAAGTGAATTGGAATGGAGATTCAAGAACCTCATCATTATGCTAGGAGAATTTTGATTGTGAGGCTATTCGTGCAAGTGATGATACAAGGGATAGTTAGGAAATGTTAAACTTCGCTTTGAGGTTGCTGAAACCATGGGAGTAGGTGAATACAAAAGAAAGCAAATTCCGTGTATTGAACTATGAAGTAGAGTAATTTACCTCATCTTATTGTGCAAAAACAAGTAGATAAGGAGATTAGAATTGTTAGTAAGTAAAAGGAAGCTGGTTTTTGAAAAATTTATACCCAGAAACCTCAATTTAATTTGAGCAAAACTTAAGAAAATCAGGATGAAGTAAAGTGGTTAATGATTCTCACCCTCAGTTGATGTCAGTCGGAATAGACTTCTCCCTTCACCTATTGTGGGGGTGAGAGGTGGTGCTCATACCCTGCCATCCCTGCTGAGAACCACTTGTATCTCCTGGGTGATGTGGTTGAGGGTAAAAGGAAAGTTGAGAACCACTGCTATCAAGTATTAGAGGGGAAATTGGCTGGAGACCAAGTGGGATGTAAGCTTAAAAATTTGACTCTTTGAATTGGAGAAAAAGGTATTCTTAGTTGGAAGCAATAGAAATTGAACTAGAATAAGTTTAGACAAAAGAAATTTGACTCTTAACCAAATTTGTGGAAGAGGGGTCAGGAATGGTACCAGGTGTAAAACTAGAATTCTGTTAGGACCTCTCTTCTTGTTGCTTACTTTTGCTTATTTAACTCCATTTTGGCTTCATTTTCACATTATCAGCTTTCTCCTTGAGATTTGAACTGTGGCTTTGACACTTCTCAGGCATTTATATCATAGCTTCCCCATGGGTTGGGACTCCCCTTCTTTAAATCCACTTTGAAAAATCCACCCGAAGGTCTCATTCTTTTGGTTTGAGCCAGGTATTCATTGACTCATTCTTATGGCCCAGGCCTATGGGGGCTTTGTTTTGCAGCTACTACTAGAAGCAAACAGTTGGATGTGATGTTTGGAGGTGGGTAGTATTTCCCAAAAGAAGTGTTTAAGGTATGGCTTGTTCTCGAGATTCTAAAGAACATTTTTTCTGTATTTCTTTTATAGCCTGTAGTCTAATGAATAATTTTAAAGGAAGAAAATGGACAACTAACGTTTATTGTAGCCTAAAATGGACAGTCTTTTGCATGTATAACATCTCTCATCTATCTTGCAACACTGCTGTGGGTTTTACTGTACTTTACTGATGGGGAAAATGAGACTCAAACAAACAAAAAAAGAAATGACTCATTTAAGATGATAAGGCTAGTGACAGAGTTGGCATTTAGACCCAGGTCTGACTGACATAATACCATGCTGTGCCCAAAACGATGGCCCAAATTTTCTATTGTGAAATGAAATTCAGAAGTCCTCCAAAATCTTGTCTTTATCAAATTTATTTCTAAAAAATAAATGAGACCACAAAGTAGGTTGAAGCTTATATGAACTATAGACTATAGTGTCAAAGCATAACAATTTCTGTACTGTGAGGAATTCCTGCTGTAGCAAATCTTGGCAGAGATGTGTGATGATGCTACTGTGTTTAAGCACAGGCAACAACATATTTAGGACTTAGTGTTGAAGAACCCTTAGATAAGTATTTGAAGAGGGTGTTAGTAAGGTGAAATATTGCAGGTAGCCGAACCTCCTTGGGTGTTACTTTAGGAACGTGGTCCAGTATTCTGCCAAGCAAATCCTTTCAGAACCATATTGGCAAAATCTTTGCAAGATATGGTCTCTGACCTCTTATGCTTCTCTGCTCCATATTCCTTATGTTTTTGAAGCATGGTAAAAAAAATCTTCTGGGTTGAAAATGTTTTAGATTAGGAAATCGGATAGCCCCAGCTCTAGCCTATGGCGTAGTATAAAGAAAAAAATTCTAATTTTAAGCAGACTTTTAAAGTTTACCAGAAATCTGTAAAGATGATTAAATTGATGCATTTTAAAATCTGTAAAGGAAATATAAATAAACCTTTGCAGTTGTTGCTGATAACATTACTTTTTTCAATATTGATTAATTAATGGAAGCTTGAAGGAAACGAATGTTTTCCCAGTTAATTTTGGTGATTTGGTTTGTGGCAATTTATATGTTTTAAAGTAATAATGGCAATTTATTCCTTGGATAATAAGGTCAAAATTACTTTGACAAACCATTTCAATATTTAGGAGGAGTAATTGGATAGTGTCTGGGTAAAGGGTCTATTTGTGATTTCAAAAGTTCAAAATCAAGCCAGTGTAAAAATAATCCCTTTACAAAAATGCCCCTTACAGCCAGCTGTGTGTTGTATAAATAAACTTGACAGGAATGCACATTCCCTGGAGTAGGAGACCACAACCACCAAGATACAAAGGAAAATCAGTGCTAGGCTATAAATATCAGTTTGTATTTGGCTTTGCAGGCATTAGACTTAGTCTTGGCAAAGTATATTTACAGTTAAAGTAGCTTATTTCCTTAATAGTCATGTATAAAATGTCATATAGTTGGGTCTTTGAACGTTGTTAGCCTGAGGCCTCGTATTTTTTGCTGCAGCTCAGTGAAGTTTTATTTTCACGTGATTGACAAAATATTGTAAAACATTATTTTAGACTACATTAAACTGCTTTTTTAGCATTTTTTAAAAAAACTTTTATTGAGAAAAATTTTAAACATAGAATAATAGCAAAGTAGGCTAATTGGTATAATGAATCTCTTTGTGCTCATCTAGCCTCTCAACAGTTATTAGGTCACGACCAATCTTGTTTTTTTTGTGTGTGTGTGAGGAAGATCAGCCCTGTGCTAACATCTGCCAATCTTCCTCTTTTTTGGCTGAGGAAGACTGGCCCTGGGCTAACATCTGTGCCCATCTTCCTCCACTTTATATGGGACGCTGCCACAGCATGGCTTGCCAAGCGGTGCGTCAGTGCGCGCCCGGGATCCGAACCTGAGAATCCCGGGCCGCCGCAGCGGAGTGCGCACACTTAACTGCTTGCGCCACCCGGCTGGCCCCCCAATCTTGTTTTTATCTGTCTCTACTCGTATCCCTTATGATTTTAGAACACATCCCAAACATCATCATTTGTCTGTAAATATTTCAGTATCTCTAAATATTTAAAAAATGGGGGTAAAAAGCCAACACATTACTATTACCACACTTAAAAAAAATAACAATAATTTAATATTATTAATATTATATTAAAATGTTAATATTATCTAATATCTAGTCAGCCTTCAGATTTTCACTTGTGTCATAAATTTTTTTAAAGTTTGTATTCAGTCCTCTTTTTTGTTCCCCTTGCGATGTATTTATTGAAGATTCCGGGCCTTGCCCTTTAGAATTCCCCGCAGGGTAGATTTTGCTAATTGTGACCCAGGGATGTCCTTGAATGTGTTTCTCTGTCTGTGTTTTCTATCAGTTGTTAATTATACAATTGTGGCTTGAACAGGTTCAGGTTTGTGAGTCAGATGACATCACGTCATAAGTGTTGGTTTGTTTGTTTATCAGAAGACACATAATGTCTGGTTTTCTTTCTTTTTAAAATGCCTAGATTAAAAGGGCAAAATGGCAATGTTTCAATTATTTTTCACTTTTCAAGTGGACTATTTATATAGAGAGATACCTCATTTGATCAAATAGTAGTTACTATTAGATTACTTGGCAATACAGTTTGGGAAGAAAAGGAAGACTAAATTTTGGTTCTTTTGCTTTTTTTAATTGGTTTTCAAAATAACAAAATGGTTTACTAGCATCCTGTAATGGTGATTAGTAGTTTTTATTATTGTTTTTAATATCACTGTTTATAAACTTTGTGTTGTTAACTGTTGATACTCAAATTGTCCCATATTTGGCCAGTAGGAGCCTCTTCAAGTTGGCTGAATCCTTTTAACAAGACCACAGTGTATTTGATAGCTTCCTTTGTATCTGGTATATATGAGATGAACCTGGAACATTTTCTGCCCTACACCTGGAATCAGCCATTTCTCTGAAGAGCCCTGGTCCCTTTCAGTGGTAAATTATATTTGGAGACCATATTCTGGGCACTAGGGATTCTCATTGCTACGGGGTTGGTCATTTTTTCTAGACCTGAAGTAGACAGAGCTCAGAATTTTTAAAGCTATATCATGAATTCATACTGATACTTCCAATTCAAATTCAGGACTGTAGAGTTTTACTTTTCGTATGATCTCCTCATTCTCTTTTAGTCTTATTCTTGAATAATGACTCTATCATAGCAAGTCTGCTCATGCATTATTTTCCATTACTTATACCTATCCAAATCATTATTCTCAAGGACATTTCCTTGTCCTTGGTTTCCTTTTTACTCATGGGTTGTAGACCACTCTGGCCCACTGTAGTTTCCAGATTCATAGCATGCACAATCATCGAACAATCATATGACACTCCAGGATATACTGAGTTTTAAAAATCAAAGTATAACATACATCCAGAAAAGTGCATAAATATTATATATAGCATGCCATTACCAGCATCCCAGAAGTCTGTTTCATGCTTCCTCCTAGATACTACTGTCACTTCCCCTTCAAAGGAAAAAGAAAAAAAAGATAACTGTTGTCCTGATTTTGAATATTATTGATTAGTTTTGCCTGCTATAGAACTTTAAAATTTTGTTTTAGCATTCATGATTTGTGGGAAAGAGAGCTCTTTCTAGCTCTTTCCAACTCCAATTGTGTCTAGGTAGCATTCAGAAAAGTTGTATCTTCATCTTTGTCACCTTCAAAACTTCTCTGTAATACCTTAGGAATATAAGTAAAAACCCAAACCTGGGCACTTCTTGGTTTAAATATTTGTCTTAAGCAGGCTAGATTTTTGTGTTTGTTAGCTATTCCCACCCCCTTACCCCCCCCCCCCATTGTATTTGTACCCTTTGCATCTTTCCCCTTTCTTTTGATTTACAGGAACTCTCTTTGTATTAAGGATGTTAGACTTTAATTATTATGTTGCAAATATTCTCTCCCAGTCTCTCGTTTGTATTTAAACTTTATTGCTGTACTAGATTTAAAATATTTTGTGTAGTATAATCTGACTGTTGAATTTTGTGTCCTGCCTAGAAAGGCCACCTTCAACCAATGTTATGTAAAAGAAAAATTCTGTATTTTCTTTTTTAATTTTATTTATTTTATTTTTTTCCCCCAAAGCCCCAGTAGATAGTTGTATGTTATAGCTGCACATCCTTCTAGTTGCTGTATGTGGGACGCAGCCTCAGCATGGCTGGACAAGCGGTGCATCGGTGCACGCCCAGGATCCGAACCTGGGCCGCCAGCGGTGGAGCGCGTGCACTTAACCGCTAAGCCACGGGGCCAGCCCTGTATTTTCTTTTAGTTGTTATTTTTTTTATTTATTTTATTTTATTTTAATTTTTTCCCCCAAAGCCCCAGTAGATAGTTGTATGTCATAGTTGCACATCCTTCTAGTTGCTGTATGTGGGACGTGGCCTCAGCATGGCCGGAGAAGCGGTGGTGCGTTGGTGTGCGACCGGGATCCGAACCCCGGGCCGCCAGCAGCAGAGCTTGAGCACTTAACCGCTAAGCCACGGGGCCGGTCCATCTTTTAGTTATGTTTTGTTGTTTGTTTATATCTGTAATCCATCTGGATTTGATTGTAGTCTGAGGTATCCCTGTCAACATTTAAATGCAGATAGAATGTTTAAACATCTTTTTTTGGTCTTTCCCATGAAAAACCCTGCTTGAATTTTATCTACCTATGGCTACTACACTTTTTCATCCACAAACTTCTAGAAGAAGTTTCCACTCATATTTTTCTACCTCACCTTCTTTTTGTCAGCTCAGTGTTGCCTGCATGGCCTCTGCCTTACCTTTACACTGAAACTACTTATGCCTGGAGCAGCCTTGGCTTTCTTTTTACTGAA